GCAGGTCAATGACGGGATTCATTCTCAGTCCGATATGGGCCCAACCAACCTTCCAAAGGTTGTCCAGCGCATGCTCTCAGTCAAGAGGAGTGGTTAAAGCTGCTGAAAATGGAACACACGGCCTATCGCCACGCTCTGGTGCCTCAACGCCGCATTCTCCATCGCTTTTTCCATGATCCTAAGGACCAAGTCCCCTAACCACTGTTTTGTGGAAGAGTCCAGACCCACTGGTTCTGACTAGAGCAACTTCTGTTTGTCAGATGCCTCTCACGGTTCAAACTTGTTGTTAACTTGCCGCTTCCCAGCACCTGACCTTTCCACCAGCAATCCTATGGTGCGCTAGATAGCATTTCATTGATTAACATTTCAGTTATTATTATTATTTTCTCAGCTGCAAATGATACTCCTCTTGCTCTTCCGCTCCCGTCCGCTCCTTTGCTACTTCCTACCTCAGCTGGGACTGTAGAAAACAACCCCCGGTGTCGTTCATCTTCTTGAACCTCTGCTGACTCTCTGTTGGTGAAATGGGATCTTAATAGATAAAAGAACAGTCGGACATGTCGGACAGTGAAGTCGGACATTCGTGGTATCGAACACGGACAGGAGTACGGTTCGAGTATGTACAGAGATGGATAAGTATTGAAGGTAGATCCAGTTCTGTGACTAGTTCGTGAAGAACATGTGCGTATGTGCTTTATACGCCGCGACGTCGAGTGATCTATGTTGTGATCCTCCGTGCTATTTATGGGATGTTACAGGCTTCGTTGCTACGGTACCAAAATCTGAGGGCATCACTGGAAGAATGCGGATTCGTGTTTAATGTATACGATCCGTGCATTGCGAATATGATGGTCAATAAAAAGCAATTGACTATCAGGTTTCATGTTGATGATGTGCTAGCGAGCCACATGGAACAAAGAGTTCTCGAGGATTTCTTTTCATGGATAAATGAGAGATACGGAGGACTAAAGGAAGTGACTTGCACACGGGGACGAGTTCACACCTATCTGGGAATGACATTGGATTATTCAAAGAAAGGAAAGTTGAAGATTCGAATGGACGATTATGTCCAAAGAATGCTCGACGAATTTTCTGTCAAGTTGAAGGAAGACGACAAACAGGAAACACCTGCTGGCAATAATTTGCTGGAGGTAGGAAAAGAAAAACTATTGGATAAGGATCAACAGACCGAGTTTCACAGGTTTGTTGCAAAACATTTGTTTTTGACCAAACGTGCGCGTCTGGATATGCATCCGACGGTGGCAATTTTGGCGTCACGAGTTCAAAATCCAAATCAGAGTGATTGGCATAAACTCTTAAGACTTATGAGATACATGCACTCTACCAAGAAATGGCATCTCACGCTGAGAGCTGACAACCTTCGTGTAATGAAGTGGTTTGTCGATGCGTCTTTTGCGGTTCACCCTGACTTCAAGAGTCACACAGGAGGAGTGATGACCATGGGTGGTGGAGCTATGCAGGCTATGTCCAAGAAACAGAAGCTAAACAGCCGCAGCAGTACACATGCGGAACTAATCGGAGTAGATGATGCGATCACACGAGTGTTGTGGACACGCATGTTCATGGAAGAACAAGGTTATCCGATTGAGAAGAATATCTTGTATCAAGACAATATGAGCTCTATTCTCCTTGAAAAGAACGGGAGATCAAGTGCAGGGAAGAGAAGCCGCTTATTGAACATCCGTTATTTCTTTGTCACTGATCAGGTTGAGAAAGGAAATCTTACGATCGAACACATGCCAACTGATGACATGTGGGGGGATTATATGACGAAACCTTTGCAAGGGGAAAAGTTCCGCAAGTTTCGGGCATTGATCCAAGGGGATCAGGAAGATTAGATATGACCGTCGTTGGTTATATGTACACGTTACATATTAAATGAAGAAAGGATTCGTTATCGCAACTGGAGTCGTCAAAACGACAGGAGTGTGTTGGTGAAATGGGATCTTAATAGATAAAAGAACAGTCGGACATTTCAGACAGTGAAGTCGGACATTCGTGGTATCGAACACGGACAGGAGTACGGTTCGAGTATGTACAGAGATGGATAAGTATTGAAGGTAGATCCAGTTCTGTGACTAGTTCGTGAAGAACATGTGCGTATGTGCTTTATACGCCGCGACGTCGAGTGATCTATGTTGTGATCCTCCGTGCTATTTATGGGATGTTACAGGCTTCGTTGCTACGGTACCAAAATCTGAGGGCATCACTGGAAGAATGCGGATTCGTGTTTAATGTATACGATCCGTGCATTGCGAATATGATGGTCAATAAAAAGCAATTGACTATCAGGTTTCATGTTGATGATGTGCTAGCGAGCCACATGGAACAAAGAGTTCTCGAGGATTTCTTTTCATGGATAAATGAGAGATACGGAGGACTAAAGGAAGTGACTTGCACACGGGGACGAGTTCACACCTATCTGGGAATGACATTGGATTATTCAAAGAAAGGAAAGTTGAAGATTCGAATGGACGATTATGTCCAAAGAATGCTCGACGAATTTTCTGTCAAGTTGAAGGAAGACGACAAACAGGAAACACCTGCTGGCAAGGTCTTTTAGGAGTCACCCGAACCGTCTGGCCTTCATCCGTCACGCGGACAATTAACGGAAAATTCAAAAAGAAGTGAGACACAAGTCGGGCAAAAAGAACGCGCGCAAAGTGTTACACATGGAC